GCTGTCTTTAGAAGTCGTAGATTCTAAATATTCACACTGTTTCAAAAAAAAACAATCACGAATTGTATGTCTGTGTTTGTCCAGTTTTGCCTAGATATAATGGAAGTAAATTTTTTGACAATTTCTTAGATGGGCCATCGATAAGGCCAAATGAACTCTTAAACTGCATAAAGTCAACAAAGTAACTTTAGACTCGCAGTTTCTTGCGAGAATAATAATACTAATGAGGGAAACCGATTGCAGACCATTACTGAAGACTATATCCTAATCACTCCACAAATAAATTACAAAGTTTTTATTATAAAATTAAAATTATATAAAATTTAATATAATATATTAAATTATTGCAAGTGGTTGCTCCTATCCTGCAGGTGATTTAATTTAATATTATATATACCTATATATTAATTTTTTTTTTGTTTCTTTCAATGATTTCAAATACTTCTTACACAAAATGTACTCGTACACCTATTAATATAAGCTCTTTTATTGCAATTTAAATATATATATATTATAATATGAAGATCCACAACAGTAGTATGATTTAAAATCAATATAAAAATTATGGTAAAAACATAACTTATTCGTTTACCCATTTTGTCTGAGAAGCGTGATCGTACACGATAGTTATAAACCTCATTTACTTTAAATATATTCCCAAGATAATATAACACTGGTATATGTATATGCATAAAAAACACTATTTATAAAGATTGTATTCATTTAAAATCTAAAAGAAAAATTAAATAAATCTATGTTATGAACAAATTAAAAAAAAATAGTAACTTCAACATATGACTAATGTTTTTTTTAAAACATTTTCGCTACTGCAAATAAAATCGAATTTTAATTAAACTTTTTATTAATTAAAAGATATGCATTTACGGTTTAAAATTAATTGAGGTTATTATTGTACATAGACAACAATGTGGAGATAATTAAAATAGCATGTGAAAGTAAACAATTATTATAATTAATGAAAAAAAAAAAAAAATTTGCAGGCAACTTTTTTAAGTTTTTGCTACAAGCAAGCAAATTAAAAATTATTATTAAAATATTATTAATCTTTTATTAAAAATTATATAATTTAAAATAAAATTAACAAAATAATGTTTTTAATAAGAAATGGGCTAAATAGTTAGGGTAACTACAAGTACAAAATTGTAGTTTTTACTTAAATGAATTCTTCGACTGAACATGCGACTATTTCGAATGGTGTGTATGCTGAAATTTTAAATAAAAGATGGGAAGACTCAACGATATTCAGGCATCTGTATGCAATCTGGTCACTTTTCACTGAAAGGAAATCCAATATTCTCATTAAGATGACCTGTAGAGATATCAGTCTTATAGTAGGTTTACTTACAGGTAACTGCAAGCTATGGCACTATGCAAGAAGATTGAATCATAATCATATCTGTCGCTGCTGTGGGGAAGACGATGAAATTGCCTCTCAACTATTTCGTCTTTGCCCAGCTTAACACTTTAACAGCCCCCTTTCTTAAGGATCTTGATCAATTACAAAACCTCTTATTAAACCGCATTTTAAACTTCGCCAAATGTTTTAGGTGGTTTTAAATCCTGAGTTTCCATTATATCTACCCATAGGGATCGCCGTTATAACCTAACCTGACCTATTATTTGCACCATCCTATTAAGTGTAAAACACATCATTTAAATGTTCTCCAAGATACATCTATAGTACTAGATACTTTTGAGGATGTTTTCATTGACGGGTGTTCATTTTAAAAGTGTAAATACTTTAAGGATTGTTCGTATTAATACTATCATCTTTGTGTAATCTTACAAAAGTCAAGTGGTGGTTTGTTCATCACCTTTACGACACCAATATATTAGAAGTCTTGCTCTTTATGAATGCAATAGTCCTTCAACGCTTATTTATAAATTTTCTATACAACAAATGCAAAAATTTTGTTACTTAATATATTCCATAAGCCATAAATATAAACCGTAGTTTTGTAAAAGTTCAGCGATTGCTACACGATCTATACTGTAAAAGTAAATATATAATCCATTCTGATCGTTATCTGATCTATATGTGTTACTGAATTAGGTTCACGAAATGGATAAGACATATATCTATTTATTATATGAATTGTATATTCAATAAGCAGCACATATAGCATACAAATTCACTGATGAAATCTTTATGTAGAGCATTTTTACATTTAAAAAAATATTTGATATATTCAGAGAGGCAAAAAATGTAATTATAATACGAATTTTACATAATCTAAAAAATATGTTAGTAACTTTACTACATTATAGCATATCAGTAACCACTGAAACGCTTCCTAAAAATAGAAAGGTTTGAAAGGAATGATAAATATTTGCTGTAAACATATAATTATGTTTATTTAATGCACTAGACAAGAGTATATAAAACCAAATAATGTTTATTTTAATATTTTACACAAAGTAAACTAAAAATTATGACTTAACAAATTGCAATGGCAAGAAAAACTAACAAACCGGCAAAGAGAAACATGATATTTACAAGCAAGACAATGCTTATGTTTAGCAGTTTAGTCATACCCTAATAACTAACTTTGACGCATTTCCTGTAACTAACAACACATTTCGAAACAATAAATAATGAAAAAAGTAAATGTGTTCTTTAGGCACATACCTGCATTTGTTAGCATTCAACTTTATACAGAAAGGTACCAGTCAACCAACCTCTCTGGTTGGTCACAACACTACGACCGAAAGCAGTCTGCTTTAGATGATAACATTTGCCAAACAACTTTAAAGGAACATATGCAAGTTTTCAATGTATTTCTGGTCTTTTCTTTGTCCTACTACGACCCTAATATTGTTAGGTGAACATGAATATAACTTCGCAATTTTAAATGCCATTGTACTTGGTGAAAATATAAGAGCAACCACTTACTATCTGTATTAAATTCAGGTTATTACTACGGATATCAAGAATGTATCTAAAGTTTGATCACAAAAATAAAATAGAATTGATGTAGTGTTTGTATTTTTATTTCTAAATAAATTTTAGTGTGTAACTATGTTATTAAGTTTAGTTCTATTCAAATTATAAATCGACCATATTAAGTTTAGCTCTAGTCAAATGGTAAATCGATCATATGCACAAAACCTTTATAAAAAATTGTCTGCTAGACCTAAAACAAAATTCTTCTCTCCGATCAGAAGTAATTATTGAAAAAATTGAAAAATTCAATTAATTAGAAAATAATATAGAAAAATAAATAATAAACATATATAAAAAATAAATAAATAATAAAAATATATGAAAACTATATAAAAAATATATAAAATATATATGAAAAATATATAAAAAATAAATAAATAATAAAAATATAAAAAAATATAAAAAGTGAAGTACGGCTTAGGGTCAGTTGGTTAAGGTGCGCTGATTCTGAGCTTCACATTTGGCAGGACCCGAATTCGATTCCTGGTACTTACAGTCTTAAAAATAATTATTTACGAATAATTAAATACAAGAATTATTTCCAGGTCACTGATGATGGGTATTTGGCAATACTCGAAACAGTTGTATGTTCAGCCTAAAATTCAATTAATTAAAATAATATAAAATGAATTTTTGTTGTTGTAATTCACTACTGTTCGAAAAACCCTCTTTATAAAAAATATAAATAAATAAATAACAAATATTAAAAATAAATAAATGATATATAATAAAAATAAATAAATGATAAATAATTAAAATAAATAAATAATATAAATAAAAAATAATCGATCTTAAATTTTTTTCAAGTGAATTTTCTTTAGTAACCTGTATATATTATTGATTAATATTGCAAACGCACTCACTCTCCCTGATCAGAATTTAACTTAAAAAATTCATTTAATTAGAAAATAATATAGCAAAATATAAATAATTAATAAAAATAACAAATAATAACAAAAATAATCAAAGAAAATAAATAATAATAAAACAAAATAATAATAAAAAAATATAATAATAAAAAAAATACTTATAAGAATATATAATAATAAAAAAATATAATAATAAAATATGTAATAATAAAAAAGTATAATAAAAAAATATAATAATAAAATAAATAATAATAAAAAAATATAATAATAAAAAAAATAATAATAAAAATATATAATAATAAAAAAATATAATAATAAAAAAATATATTAATAAAAAAATATAAAATAACAACAAAATATCTACTCATAAAATAATAAATAAAAAAGTTCTAATCTTTTTTATTTATTTACCTTTACTTCTTAGAAAATATTAAACTTCTAAGCAAAGCAAAAATCCAAAAACTGTTCAGAAACAAAAACAACAATTCACGTGACTTCCCTCCCTCGCCCTTACATCTAATATACAATAATGCTTACTTTCAATTGCTATGAACGCTAGCTGAATCAACCACAAATTGCTTGCAAATATACTGGGTGTTGTAATTGAACTCAACGTTTTTATTAAATTAGTGCTATTTCAAGCAGCGATTGTGTGCAAACACACAAACACATATATATTTACGTCAAGCTTTCTGACCTTCTCGTTGTGCTGAATGTATTTGCAGCGCAACTACATTTTTCCTCTTCTAAGTTATCGTGCTATCGCTTTCCTCAACCAATGCATGTTGGTATACATACGCCTGCTTGAGCAAGCAATCAATTCAGTCGAGAACACTTATTCGTTTAACACGTGTGCGGACTGATAAACAGATTTTTTTTGTTTTAAAAGACTTTTGTGTTATTTTTAAATTTTTCAGTTAGTTTAATTATTATAAACATTAAAAATTTGTGTTATTCGAATAAAAAATCTACAAATTATTATAAGAATATACTTCAACTGCATTTATAATTTCATTGCATTATTTATTTTGTACTAAAATGCAAAAACACAAAAGAGATTAATTAAAGAAATTAATTATTTATTATTTGTTGTTGTGGCACTTTACTTTTGAAATTAAAAAAAAAATAATAAATATTACATGTTTTTGTAATATGAAGAAAAAATAGAAAAAAAAAAATGGAAAAGAAAGAAAAAGATTTTATATTAGAATTTCTGGATGTTTATCGCAGTCTTCCGGCATTATGGGATGCCAATTGTAACGATTATAAAAATTTAAATATTAAAAATGCTCAATATGACAAATTATTATTAAAATATCAGGAAAAATATCCAAAAGCAACTAAAAGGTGTCTATCGAAGAAAATTAGTATTTTACGTATAAACTACAGACGTGAAGTGAGGCGTAGAAGAGAATTGGAAAAAAGCGGCAAAAAAGTAGATGATTCTGAAGGACATTTGTATTACTTCAATAAATTGGATTTTATTAGAAATATTAAACCTCCTTGCTATGCGAATAGTACCAATAAAGTAAGTACATACCACACATTCTATTCAATAATATTTATATTTCTTTACTATGAAATTACTATCACTTTTAAGCATAATCGCATACATCGCATACGACAGTTCCCACAACAACCAACAGACCCTAAAGAAAAGATGGATTTAATGGAAAAAAAACATAAAATGATTTTAGCTTTAAAAGCACACTTGAGTAAATCTTCAAATGATAATCTCAATAAAACTTCTGACACCTTATATAGATTGTCTATTGATAACTTAAATGAATCTTCAAATGATTATTTGAGCTTTAGTGCAGACAGTAAAAGAGAACCAATTACTGTTTTAAATGAATCATCGAGTGATTGCTTGGATTTTATTAGAGATGATAAAGCGGAATCATTTCATAATTCAAATGAAACATCGAGTGATTATTTGGATTTTACTATAGATATTAAAGAAGAACCGATATAACAGTAAATTGCTTTGATTTTACTAGAGATGATAAAGTGAAATCATTTCATAATTCAAATAAAACATCTAGTGATTATTTGGATTTTACTATAGATATTGAAGAAGAACCGATATAACAGTAAATTGCTTGGATTTTACTAGAGATGATAAAGGGAAATCATTTCATAATTCAAATAAAACATCTAGTGATTATTTTGATTTTACTATAGATATTGAAGAAGAACCGATATAACAGTTTATAGTCCAGTTATGAAGAAATGAAGCATTTTAAAATTTATTGTAAGTGAGAACATGCGTGTAAAACAAAATAATTTATAAACATATTATGTGTATATATGTATTTGGACAATCCATTCATTTTAAAAAGAATTTTTTATTTTTTTTATATGTTTGTATAATTTACATAATTTGTTTACTCTAAAGTGATAAAATATGGAATGAAAAACTATAACTGCATTTTAATTTTGCAGAAAAACGGGGACTTATAGTTAATGAGTGTCGAACTAAATTAGTTTTAAGAATAATGTACATATGTATATAACTTTATTAATGTGAAGATTAAATTCAAACGATAAAGAGAATTTATTTGTTTGAATAGAAATAAAATAAAAAAATCAAACTATATAAAATCAATATTTTTCTTTAGAAAATAAAAAAAAAATTTCTAAATCATTTAAATTTCTACTAGTTTCATTTACTTAAATTAGTAAATTAGATATTGTAAACGTTCTTATTGCGAAATCTCAGGTTCATCTTAGGTAGTTTTAATTTTTTTGCACGATTTTGTTTTACCAGGCACGCCGGTTTTTTTTTTTTGTAATAACAGAAATTATAGACTACTTATTCATATATCCATTAATAACAAAAATAGCAACAATGCATTTAAACTATTCTACTTAATATTTATATAGGATACGAATTAAACATTTTCACTGCACTTACGCATGCAGTCAGTGCTGAACTGAGCTCATTTATATGTATATACAATACATTATAATTAATAAAACTCAATAATAATATGGGATAAGTTTTCGTGGAATATTTCTGTTCTCGACAATCCATAATAGGCACTACTGACTTCGTTACCACTAAAACGTTTAAAAATACAAAGAATAAAATGCATAAACAGCTGGGAAACAACGAACAAATACACTATTAAGTATTAACGTTTTACAACACTATTAATATGTGTTGAACTGAAATGAACGCTGCCTGAATCAACCACCACAATCATATATGAATATTTTTAGTTGCAAACCTATTAACCTGCTGGAATCAACATAAATATTTTTTCATGTGTTAATATGTGTTAATACACACACACATAAATGTATTTAATACAAAATGTAGCATCAAGCCTTTTGACCTTCAATAATATGCTGAATACATTTAACTACATTTTTCTCCTTCTAAGATTGCATACTGTCGTCTTCCTCAATCAATATACGCTGGTGTACATACGCCTGCTTGAGCAAGCAAGCAATCAGTTCAGCTGAGAGTTTATTCGTTAAACACGTGTACGGACTGCCAAAAATTCTTATTTTGTAGAATTTTGAAAAAGTGTAGAATTTTTCAGTAAGTATTGGTTTTCTTTCTATACAATTTATTGTTCAAATTTGTTATAAGAATAATTATAAATAGTAGACATATACATATGTATGTATTTTAATATAATTAAGAATTTCATCTACTAAAAATAATGAACATATAAATCAATAATTGATGTTTTTTTTTAATATCTAGATAGAATGATGTATACGGAACAAACAGATTTTATAATAGAACTACTGAATGTCTATCGCAGTTTGCCGGCATTGTGGGATGTAAATAGCAAGGACTACAAGACGTTAAGCGTTAAAAATGCTCAATATGATAGGCTTTTATTAAAATTCCAAGAAAAATATCCAAACGCCACTAAAAAGTGTTTATCAAAGAAAATTAATATTTTACGGACGAATTATAGGCGTGAAGTGAAACGTATGAGAGAACTGGAAAAAAGCGGTAAAAAAGTAGACTTTACGAGAGCAAATTTGTATTACTTTAATGCAATGGATTTCCTCAGAGACGTTAAGCCTTTATGTAGTGATAACTGTATCAATGCAGTGAGTACATTCTATTTTATAATGTTTATATTTTATGATTATATGAAATATTTTAGGACCAACGCATGTGTAAACAACAACCGCAAGAAACTGTAAATATTACAGAATATAATTTAGCGCCCAAAAAAATTAAATTGTTGACTCCCACAAAATCGTACTTAAATAAATCCTTAAATAATGACTTAAGTAATTCACTCATTGAAAATTTCAATGAATCGTCGATTGATGATGCGGAATTTATAACAGATGACACACCTTCAGGTTATGCAGGTAGTATCAATGAAGTAAGTATTGATACTATTTTATAATATATTTGTTTTATTATAATTTGCTTTTATTTACTCCTCACATATCTGTAAACAGCAAACGCCACAACTAGAGGATTCTAAAGTTAATATTAATTTCAATAATAAAAATATTGAATTGATTACTGATATAAAATCTGATTTAAGTAAGTTGTCAAATGATAATTTAAATAACTTGCCTATTGATGACTTAACCGAATCATCGTTCGATGACAGGGAATTTCTTCTGTGCACAGATAGTATAAATGAGGTATAAGTAAACTCTACACTATATAGTAGTAGTAGTAGTATTTCTTTTATTAAATTTAGGTTATATTTACATTTACAAAATTAACATTTTCAATAATTTATAATATACTAGCTGACCCGACGAACGTTGTTTCCCCTTGCAATTAATTTTCCTGGCTCAGCTGAGTTATAATATTTGTTGTTATTCAACTTAACCTTTAGCATTTTAATACGAAAATTATTTTGAATTGATTTTTTCTTTTGAACTACAAAAAGTCCACATGCATTACTTATGTTACAAATATTTTCAAATCCTTATAAGCACTACATTTTAAATGAAAAAAGAATATCAATGGATATTGCAAAGCGTCGTAAGAGCGATAACTGTCATCAATCGTATGCAATGTGTTATCTCTGCGTTGTATTCATATATCTTGACGTTCAAATGCGTCGCCAACCATAACAACTGCAACTTCATTAATAGTCGGTGCATTATATCGGCCCGCATGCTGCCCAGATGGTACTTTGTCTGCTTTTATGACGATTGTATAGTTGTCGTTTAGCAGTCGGTTTGAAACGGTATTGAACAACTGGACCAACTGGTTGTGATTTTTTAAAAACGGTTCTAAAATACCCACAATTTCTTGCTCCTCCATCTGCTCGATATGGTTGTACTGGCAACGTGCGTTTATTTGCTACTTCTCATCACCCATGAAGTAGATTTGCAGAAATTTGGGATCGTTATTGGGCATCGGCATTAAAGAACCAATTTGGTGATACACTTAGCCCTGAATCTTAAATGTTGATTGAAAATTGCGGCCATTCTAATTCTGAACGATTTTTGTTGTTCCAAATGATGTCATTTGAAAGCACGAATTGAATTTGCGAATTTTACGAAAAAACAATTTAGATTGAGATGTAGCTCCAGCCAATAGTGCTTTCATTGGTTCTGGCGGCGAATTCAATGGTGGCAATACAACTTTTCCAGATGCGCAGCAGAAACCTGCCGATTCCCCTTTGTATTTGAGTGCATGACAGTGTTGGCACTGTTTGTTCATAGCACCGATTACAATTCGTGAATGTGACGAATAGTCGATAACCGACTCATATTCAAACGCAAGGTGATGAAATGATGAACGTGTCAATGCCCGATTCATCCGAACCACCTTGCAAGGAATCTATTGCTAACGCGGCCTTCGTCAAGATTAAGCAGAAAAGATGTACCAACGCACTGATTCCTTTTTCTATCTTTATACATTTACTTATTATCAACCTTATTTAAACTTTAATTTACTTCAATTTAATATACTTTTTTTTTTCTTTTTCGTTTATTTTTTATTTTATTTTATTTATTTCTTTATTCTTTGCTTTTCATGAAATAACTTTAACTTTAATTATTATCAATTAACTGCATTTATAATTGTCAGTTCATTTGTTTGCTTTAGTTTTTTTAAGATTTGAATACTTATTGTAAATCTTCTTATAAAAGAGATTCAATAAATAAAATAGATATTTAAAAAAAAAAAAAAATGCCCGATACACTTGCAAACGCTGTTGTTCACGTGTTCTGAATATGTCGGTGACTCGTGGACGGGCCAGTCTTTGTCTCAATGCATTAGCTCGAAGGCGTTATTTGCGTTGCTCTTGACTTTCATTAACACGTGTGATTGTATCCTGGTTTCTTACATTCTCATTGTTTTCTGCCGATCTATTTAACCGACGGTTCTGGAGTAATTGTGAATTCCGAGTCGCTCGACCAATATTTTCTCCTTGTCCACGAAGACGTGGCATTGTTTTTTGTATGTTATTTATATCTTTATATATATAATTTTTCTTTTTTGTGTGTGTTCAAGTGAATTCAAGGATGGTTTAGATTCACAATTTGGTCCATTTATATTAGACATTTAAAAGTTATTCATTCTTACTTTGATTTGTTTAAAAAGTTTAAACTCTAAAATGAATCGTTCAACTATCCTGTGGAATTTTTGAATTCGCTGGATTTACCAGGAATACCACCACATAACTTAAGATTAAAAATTGGCTCCCCTATAATTATACTGCGGAATTTAAATGCATTTAAGCTATGCAATTTTACGATTCATTTTAGAGATTTTAAACTTTTTAAACAAATCAAAGTAAGCATGGATAAATTTTAAATTTCTAATATAAATGTATATGGATACCAAAAAATAAAAAATTAATTAAAAAGACGTTATCCAGTGGGCCAAATTGTGAATCTAAACCTTATTTGAATCCACTTGAACACACACAAAAAATTTCATCAAAATCGGTTCAGCCGTTTAGGAGGAGTTCACTGTCAACACACGTACAGAAGAAATATATATATAAGATAAAACATAAATATTATAAATAATTATAAGAAAACTAATAAGAAAAACCTAACTTCATTTACATAATATCTAATTTTATCCTTATACGATTATGGCATTTGCCGTCAATCGGGCTCTACACTATATATAATTTCTTTGTTTTTTTATTTATTTAATTACTTCAGCATGCAAAAACCTATAAACAGCAATCGTATAAAACAACTAGCTATAGTAGTACGACTGAAAAAATTAAAAAACAAAGTGAACCGATTTCTCCAACAGCAACGCATTTTAATAAATCCTCAAGTGATATTAATTCAAAAATTGCAGAAGTCTGGGCTCACGAATTATCCGATATGGAAGAAAGACAAAAATTATTAGCAAAAAAATTAATAAACGATATCATATTCAATGGGCATATGGGTCTATTAAATTATAATACTTTTTTATCCAATCTCAACAGTATTTTATCACCAACAAGTTCACTTTCTTCGATTTATGAGGAGACTCGGCGTAACTCGGGACAAAAATCGGTACAAAAAAGAAAGTGCGCCAGCAATTACCGCTATCACAAATATAAATAGATCAAATGTATATAATGTTAGACCTTTTAAAATTTACTTTAAAATAAATTATTGTTATCCACTTCTCATGTATAAAGTATAAAATAAATTTATACAAAAATAATGCTTTGTTTTTTTTTAATTACGTGAAACACATATACCATATAGGCATATAAGTTATGCAAAGTATATACAACATATAAGAAACCTACTCTTTATATATGTATAAGTCGAGAACATAAACTGTTAACTGCGTTTTATTGTATTTCTAGCAAAATGTCGGGAATTATTATATACAGTTCCTCTCCAAATGATTTTCGTTCTGTTGCGTCGCCAACTACTTTGAGCGACGGACCGAAAATTATCTATAGCGAAACTATATTAGAATGCCACCAGCTATATTTCAACGTTGCTTAACATTGTTTATCATGCAGCTGCTTTGAGTATTCATAACTAACATTAATTAAATTAAATTATAATTAAATTTTGAACTTTAAACATTAACATGCTTTTGATTTGTTATTTGCATCATCTCTTTATTTAACATGGTTCTGGGCCCCAATATTTTCATTTTAATGCGGTTCATAAACCTTTACATTTTTTGCTTGATTTGCCAGTTACTCAGTCGTGTTTCTTGAACAATAAAATAATATTATATTTTGACATCTGTTAGGAAAATGGGCTTTCGTTAGAATTTTACATATTATGGAAATTTATAAAGACGACACGCGCCTATTCTACTTTGCTCGGTAACAATGAACAATCATCATTAATAGAGGAATGATGTTTCTTAGGGAGCAGAAAGAATTATCCGAATCGTAAAACAATGTGTTTTTTGAACTTTACAGTGTGTATTATAAATAGCATTACCATCAACAGGAACGTTGTTTCACAAGTAGGAAAAAAGAGGTTCTGACTCATAGTAAAAACTGGTGGTATTAAGTCTTTTACTGTTTACTATTTATTTAAGTTTTATCGATGTTTATGTGTAATTGTTGCGATTGTCAGAACGCCTAATTCACTTAGCATAGGGTCTTCATTGTGTCAATAACATATTATCCACATAATTCAAGTCTTGCAGATGCTGATCGACTCTGCATAACAATCCGAAATAATAGTTCCAAGAAAATAATAAGGACTCTCCTCCTACTATTTGTTGTAATATAACATGTCCAACTCTAAATCTTTTATATACTCTTTTAGTCAATGTTGACCGCCTTCGCATAATAATCCTTTATTCATCCAAGCAAATAATAGGAAATCTCCTCCTAATATTTGTTATATTATATGTAACATAACTGTATTATAACCTATTAAAAACAACTCTCAACTCTGTTTAACACCGATTAATATTAAAAAGTTTTGATTGTTTGACAACACTTGCTATACAGTCCGTATATTGACTCCTGATGAGCTGCATAATTTTTTTCTGGGACCACTTCTGTCTTTAAAACCCTCCATATAGCGATCAATAGCATCAGCGAACCCAAATTAACGAGTTGAGTTGTACTCGTTGCATTACTCAACTTAGGCATTTAAGCGGATAAGAAAGGCCGCTATTTTGACACAACCCTCATTATTAACATCAAATAAAGTCTGCTTTAAATCTTAACACATTGCGATTAATTACAATGCAATCACTTTCACATGTCTATATATAGTTTAATGTTTATGTTAAAACAGGTAGGAAATAGGAAAGTTACCCTGAACTTTAATAATCTTTCCATTAAAATGAATCCATATCAGCTAAACTACAGCTTTAACAAAAAGGTAAACATTCAATGTAAGTTCAGGAAATATTTTCAATACTTTTATTCACATTAGCTGAACTGCACCAAATATTTTTGTAAACAATTTGTAGTTGTTGTTTGTTGGCTATTACAAGCAATTAAAATATGTTGCAAAATGTATCTCAAACATGCAAGAGAGTTGCAACACTTGTCTCAACACTTAAAACGGCAAATTTAACAGCACATAACAGCAGAAAAATAAAAACTAAAAAATAAAAACTAAATACAGCTAAAACATCTCAATAAATTGTTGACTTAATTTGCTGTTAAATCGCTGAAAAAAGAAACGGCTTAATCCCCTTTCTAAACCTTTACTTTAAAAGTTTTGTTAACTCATTTCGGTATGAACGAAACTGTTGCGTGCAGCTCTCTTAAACGGAACAAGTTAACATCGTTTAATTTCTTTTAGTTTCGATTTTGCTTTTTAACGGTTTAAAAAAATTAAAAACGATTAATCAAACTTATGGCATAAACAGGAAGAAGCTAATGCGTTTTTATTTAGAATTAATTTGTTGCATCCACCGTAAGCTTATTTGTTGGAGAAATGCTCATTCGAATAGACAATAACGAATTATAAATTATAAAAGATATGTAATTCCAAAGACAATGGAAAAAACAACAAAAAAAAATTAATTTATAGTACACCTCTTAAGGCCAATGTTAGATTAAACATATGGGACACATAGTCTGAGACCGAAGATCCTCTTCTGGTACAATGATGATTTTAAAACTAAACAAGAAGTTGGTGCATCAAGTCATTGACTTCAACACCAATATATGTCTTGCGGTGCCTACTACTTTTAAGCAGTTGGTCCCTATCATTGAGGTGTACTCGTTTGATTAAATTTCCCTAGGGATAACATCCGTATGTATATACAAATAGGTATTTATAATAGCAAGAGAAGTAATAGTTACAAATTCTATTTGTAAATATCACAAGTAGAGCTTGGGGTATCACTCCTGTTGGAGTGATAAATTAGGTACTCTAAATTCCTGATTTCATTTAACTATTTTTTTTTGAAAACTTGACTTGAGGTTCTTTTTAGTCTGCGTTTACCAACGCTAATCGTTGGTAAAACAAAACGGGTCATTACTTGAGCTCAAGTTATTTTTGATGTACAAGGCCGTCACTCCAACCTTATCTTACAGAGTAATTACACCATCCTCGCTATATCTGGAAAAATATTTAAGGATCGGATTTCGGCCACTAATGAAAATGTGTAGGTGTAGAATTTTGAAAGATGCCTAATTTTAGCAGTAGACAAATATATAAAATTTTATTCCGAAATAATATTATTATATTATATAAATTATTTTATTATATATATAGAGCTTCTTCAATCAATAAATTGATCTGTAAAAGATCGGTGGTGAAATTGGAATTTAAGGTTTATTCCGATATAATAAAAAAAGTTTATTATAGCAAGCTTTCTCAATCAATAAACTGATTTATAAAAGATCGGTGGAGAAATTGGAATGTATTCCGATATAATAAAAAAAAGTTTATTATAGGAAGCTTCCTCAATCAATAAATTGTTCTATAAGAGATCGGTGGAGAAATCCGAATTTGCGGTTTATTCTGATATAATAAAAAAAAGTTTATTATAGGAAGCTTCCTCAATCAATAAATTGTTCTATAAGAGATCGGTGAAGAAATCCGAATTTGAGGTTTATTCTGATATAATAAAACAGTTTATTATAAAAAGCTTTTGCGAGCAATAAACTGAACTATAAAAGATCGGCTGAGTAGTCAAAATTTGATATTTTATTTTTTATTTTATATTTATTTTGGTATTATTTAAAAAAATTTTGATGGAAATTTTCTCGTTCAAACAATTGATCTATCGGTTGATCGTTTGAGAAATCTGAGGTTTACTCCGATATAATAAAAAAAGTCTATTATAGGCAACTTTCTCGGTCAATAAATTGGTCTATAAAAGATCGATTGAAAAATTTAAATTTGAGATTTATTCCGATATAGTAAAAAAAATTTAGTATGGGAACCTTTATTGACCGAGCCAATAAATTGACCTATAAACTATCGGTTAAGAAATTTGAATTTGATGTTATAATGCTACAAATGATCTTCATTTTTATAACTTTGCATTTAGGTTTATGAAAAATATACCTTTTTTTATGATAAAGCTGTTTTAAGAATATTTTTGAAGGATAAAATTAAAACAGTATAACTATAACTATTTGAGAAATATATAGTATATACTTTTACTATGTCCATTAGAAACTTTTATTATGTATAATAAAAAATTTATGACTTACTCTTTGGATGGATATTTGCAGCACTGCCGTTGTTAGTAAATCTGTTATTATTTTGTTTATTGTTGGCATTTTTACTATTGCCATTGCTAACATTTACTCCGTTAAGTACGCCTTCGTCGATAGTTCCATTGTTACCGATACTGCCTCCACTGAATTCGCCAACGGCGGCATTGGCCGGATTTGTGTTTGTGTGCAAATCAACTTGTGACGTTGTCATTTTAGTGTAGAAAAGCAACAAATATCGTTACAAATTAGTATTTTTTTAAAGCTTCAGATAAACACAAAAAACTAGTTTGGGATTTAATATTTTTTTTCACGAGTGCTTATAGCCCAAGATGTATTTTTATTAATTTATCTCCAGCGAATTCTATTTGTATCTGTAACTATTTTCACTGTGTTGGACGGCTAAAATCAACAAATGAAAATATCACAGAATTAATGTTGTTTTCGCATATAGCCTATAATCTGCTAAGCAGTATTTTATAATTTAATTCATTAAAAATTATAATTTTTCTTTTTAATTGGGACGGCATTCGAAGTCTCAGCATGGTAATCTGCAAAGAAAAAATTTCAAAAAATATGAATTAATCATACAACGTAAACAAAGAAATATTGTTTATATATTTAAATAATTAAATTAAATTAATTTAATTACAACTTTTTAACTTTCTTTTTGAATTGAAAGCTTTGTTTAAGTGCATTTCATTATTCTATGATATACGTACTTTGCAAATGGAGAGATATTTTTATCTCTTTATGTTACTTTTGTTGTGAAGTTGTTAAGGTAATTAGGCGTAAAGCCCACCTGTTCTTCTATAAATATTCGAAGAAATTTAATGTTTACATTTGTGTAAACAAGAAGGAAATTACTTTGTTGATGGCATGTAAACAAACTTAAGACTTTCCCAGCATTTAAAATGTTAAAGTAGTGCAATAGCCAAGTGTGTTGTCTGATATAAACATACTAGGAGGTAATTTATTAATTGGATTACAAAAGCTTTTACAAAAATTACAAAAACATTTAAAATTGCTCAAAGAATAATCTGAAAGTGTAGTTTACTGACAGATAAAAGTATCAGAAGAAACCACTACTAAAATACCCGTACATGCAATTAATAAATAAGACTTGAATAAGCCATAATCTGATACATAATCTTTTCATTTACTTTAGAGTCTTCCTGTATATTGACCTTTTGGTTTAATTTTAACTTCCATAAAAGTTTAACTATTTAACTACATACTAAAAAGAGCATAATTTCAGTAAACAAACTATTAAAAAGTCACAAAATAATTAACAGAGTTCAAAGTCTTAATAAATCAAAACTGAACTCTATTTTGTTTGAATATATATATATAGTTTATAATATATAGTTTCACCAAAGTTTATAGAACAAAATTTTACGCTAACAATTGAACAAATTATGAAAATGCATAGTAAAAACGACATATATATAATTTTAACCCTAAAACATTGAAGCAGGTGTATCGATAAAAATTATTATTGTTTAATTCACCCCACCTTTTCGCATAAACAGGTTTTAAACCTAAATAAAAAAGAAGAATTTACCCTTTCTATTATTGCCTCTATATTATACTATATGTAGCATTGTGGTTGTGTAATTATACTACCCTTCCAATTAAAAAAATTATTTGCGAAAGGAAATACATATGGCTGCGATAGTATATAATTTTGCAACACTACCGGCACCTGACAACCTGATCTCAATTGCAATGAATTTGGCTAACTATTGTAATCCAATGTCAACCGGTCGGGTACGACTTGGCTGGAAGCTCTAAGCTCCTACAGACGCAGATCTAGTCAAACTAAATGTTATCTACCAAAAAATCTGCAACAAAGGCCCTTTCTTGCGAGCTCCTATTTCCTCATATAATATTTTTATCACTATATCTGCTTTATTCCAAATCACATACAGTTCATGGTTGCACCAACTTCAAAATCATTTTTCCTCACATATTGGGAAAGGAGATTGTCATATATGAACAAATCTCAATATAACTTTTCTCTCGAGTTTGATTAAGAGGTCAGCGTACTTTTTCCTAAGTAGCTAAATATCGTAGCCATAAATAAGTACTAGTAACAAAGGAAAGGAAGAACTGAAAAGTCTATTTAGATTGTTTAAGAATCTTAAGTCAGAATTGATTTTTTTTAACAAACCTTCATACTAGTAATATATTAGAAAGACATATTGTAAAACGTCTAGTTGATATCTCAAGCTAAATTTTTTCAAATCTCTTTTTGGCAGAAAAACATAGAAAACTCACTCCCGTTTCGTTAATTTTTATAAGTAAACCAACGTGTTAAAGTTGGTAATACTACGTTCAACTTTTGAATGGGTCAGCGTGCCCAAGCCAATAACACTACATACATTTTTCTTATATCTTTATAGGTCAACCATAGTGTCGATAACGTTACCTACAGCTTTTTAGTAGGTCAGCGTGACTAAGTCGATAACACTGCGTATATGTTTCATATATCTTTCTAGATCCACCGTAGTGTGCTAAGTAGGTAACACTGCTGATTTCTAACTTTCTTTTCTTTCCACAAAACAATTGTGTTTCAGAATTAGGAAAAACAAATAGTTTTTGTAACACTCCCGTACAACCGTAAGCTAACCCATCTATCAACGACTGTGAGTTCCAAGAACTGCCAGATCCTGTAGTCACTCGTCAATCAAGTCGACCAAGTGCCGTTTTCACCATTCCCTAAAGGGATTTTACAAGCAGATTTCAACAACATCATCGACTGTCAAAAGGTTCCTTGCAAGTTTTTTTTTTATTTTATTAATATGTCTTTATGTCTTTATTGAATCACTTTAAAGCCTAATAATAACTCTTAGAATCTTAAAAACTAATAATATTATATTAAAAAATAATTTTATATATACAAAGTACACCGAATTATAAAATGCATTGTAGGTAAATTATTTTATGGGGCCTCTGAATAAGTAGCTAGGGCTTATTTAACAGATATCACGGCGCATAAGTTGAATTAAATAGGAAAATCATTAGGATTTCTTGAAAGTGGAACCTATATATACATACAATGAATTATAAAACAAGTTGTAAATTATTTTATGGGGCCTCTAAATAAGTAGTTAGGGTTTATTTAACATATATCACGGTGCATAAGTTGAATTAAATAGGATAATCTTTAGTGTTGCTTGCAAGTGGAACCTACATATACATACAATAAATTATAAATTATTTAAAGAGGCCTCTGAATAAGAAGCTAGGGCTTATTTAATTGAAATCACGGTGCATAAATTGAATTAAATAGGATAATCTTTAGGGTTCCTTGGAAGTAGAACCTATATATACATACAATGAATTATAAAACAAGTTATAATAATTTTATGGGGCCTCTGTATACGTAGCTAGGACTTATTTACAAGATATTACGGCGCATAAGTTGAATTAAATAGGAAAATCATTAGGATTTCTTGAAAGTGGAACCTATATATACATACAATGAATTATAAAACAAGTTGTAAATTATTTTATGGGGCCTCTAAATAAGTAGTTAGGGTTTATTTAACATATATCACGGTGCATAAGTTGAATTAAATAGGATAATCTTTAGTGTTGCTTGCAAGTGGAACCTACATATACATACAATAAATTATAAATTATTTAAAGAGGCCTCTGAATAAGAAGCTAGGGCTTATTTAATTGAAATCACGGTGCATAAATTGAATTAAATAGGATAATCTTTAGGGTTCCTTGGAAGTAGAACCTATATATACATACAATGAATTATAAAACAAGTTATAATAATTTTATGGGGCCTCTGTATACGTAGCTAGGACTTATTTACAAGATATTACGGCGCATAAGTTGAATTAAATAGGAAAATCATTAGGATTTCTTGAAAGTGGAACCTATATATACATACAATGAATTATAAAACAAGTTGTAAATTATTTTATGGGGCCTCTAAATAAGTAGTTAGGGTTTATTTAGCATATATCACGGTGCATAAGTTGAATTAAATAGGATAATCTTTAGTGTTGCTTGCAAGTGGAACCTACATATACATACAATAAATTATAAATTATTTAAAGAGGCCTCTGAATAAGAAGCTAGGGCTTATTTAATTGAAATCACGGTGCATAAATTGAATTAAATAGGATAATCTTTAGGGTTCCTTGGAAGTAGAACCTATATATACATACAATGAATTATAAAACAAGTTATAATAATTTTATGGGGCCTCTGTATACGTAGCTAGGACTTATTTACAAGATATTACGGCGCATAAGTTGAATTAAATAGGATAATCTCTAGGGTTCCTTGCAAGTGGAACATAAATTTTTGTTAAATTTAATTTTGTAGATCAAGTTGTTAGATAAACGAAAAATAATAAATTTTCACTAATTAAAAATTGTTTAATCTCTCTTCAAACTATATATAACTTAACATTTTCAATTGAAATCAATAAAAACGTTCACAGTAATTAAATGTTTTTTTTGGTAATAAAAGTTTAATACTGTGAAACCTTTTTTTATATTTTCCTTTTCAAATAAACCAGAATTGGTAATAAAATTGTTTTTTTATGAATGCAATTGTTAAGCTTTATTGCTTCAAATTACAAGTCAATAACAACTTTTGGTATATAACAAACAAAAAAAAAAGAGTCTAAGACGAATTGGTTTAAGTACATACATTTTATGTCTTTTCATTTCTTTTTTTTATTTTTTTAAACAATATGTGTAATCCGTAAATAAAAATGCACTCCAAAGTTTTACCCATGGCTCAGTATGGAATTTAAAAATTGTTTTATTTAATGTAAACCACACGAAGAATGCAACAAAAGTAAAGAATTGTGCGACTCACATTGGAAAAATGTCTACGCAAGCTGAAAATATCAACAAAAATTAAAATAAGTACAAAAAAAAAAAAATAAACAGTAAGGCACAGAAAAATGTATCTAGTTTTTATGTCAACTGAACCTATGCACAAGACATGACAGTAGAAAAAAAACAAACTGTAGATACATCGACGTCTGCATTCTTCAGCGGATTTTTGTGCCGCACGTAGAAGTACGAAACTATATCTCATGGGAAAGAAACATGTCAGACTTAAAACTGCAAAATATTGTTATTGTTGAGTTGAGATTGTTGAAAAAAGAGGTTAAGAAACTGTCGTGACATTATTCAATTTAAGATAAAAATTCGTTTTGGTTTTGGTTATCGTGTGGCGGAGCAGATTCAAATTCGAATGACTTGAGCCTATGACTTGAGAAAAATTTCGTCATTTTTAGGTCATGCAAAAATTTCGCTACCAACACTTAAAGTACATACTTATATTGGGATTGTTTTTCTTGCATGTAATTTTTTTCGTTGATTAAATTTCCCAAGAAGAGTGAAAAACTAGTTTCTCTTATGGTAATACTTTATTGTCCACACTTGTGTAGGTCCAATGCCGAATTTGTGCAAAGCAACTTTTTAAACCAAAACACAAAAAAAACAAAAAATCAAACAAAATAAAATAACAAAACAACTGCGCCAGCACAATTGTTATAGCAAAATTGTAT